AATTCTGGAAATGAAGGCCAAAAGCAAGGTGCCAGCAGGGTAGGCTTCCTCTGAGGGCCATCAGGAAGGGCTCTGTTCTAGGCCTCTCTCCCTGCCTTGCAGATAGCCACCCCTATGCTGCCTCTTCACATTGGTGTCCTTCTGTCGCCATATGCCCCTTGATGTCTCTCTGTGTGTTCTAGGCCCTTCTTATAACATCAGTCAGATTAGATTAGGGCCCACCCATATGATCTCACTGAACCTAATCACCTTTTTAAAGGCCCGATTGCCAAATACAGTCACATTCTGAAGTACCAAAGCTTACGATACAGGAATTTTGGGGGACACCATTCAGCCCATCGCAGCAATTGAAATCAGATGAGGCAATGAAGCATGCACTTAGGGCTTAGAGTCGTGGCTCTCTGTGGTCCTGCTTTCTGCCACCTTCCCAGGACACACTCTTAGGTGCCTCCCTGCCTCTTGGCCTTCTGGCCACCTAGCAATCCCTTCCTTCCACACTTAGAAGGGCACAGGGGTGCAGGTGCTGGGAGGACCAGGGCCCAGCCATCCTTGCCCAGGGATGTCAGTGCCGCTGCATGTTTGGAGGTGATTTGGCAGGGGCAAGTCTTGCACCCACCCCAATCCAGGTATCCAGCATATCCTGGTTGATGTTGCAATTCCCTGCGATTTTCTGTAGTCCATGGACCTATGGAAGGCTGTGGGAAAGGAAAGTGACTTCCCTACTTCCTAGCCCTGGGTCATTCAGCCTCTTTGAGAATCTGACTAAAGTTAGATAACCTCTAGCCTGGAAAGTTGACATACATAGACAGCCATGATTTTTATACATATTAAGGGAGTGATGAACTTCATAAAGCTACTCTGTGCACCTCTTGTGATTTGGCCCTGCTTACCTTTCCAGCCTCATGTCAACTCTGCTCTCACCATGCTGCAGCCCTCTTGGATCGGCATACCCATTCTCAGAATGCATTGTATCCTTCCATGCTTGTGTTTTTGCAGGTGCTCTTTCCTCTGTCTACCATATGCTTTTCTTCATTATCATTGTAACAAACTTCAAAATTAAAATTACATTCTATATTCTTAGAGAATCCTTATTGTCATCTCCTACTTCCCATAACCTAAGTTAAACCAAGTGCTCCCCAAGGACCTCCATCAGTCTAAAAGATTTATAATACTAAGTTTTTATTATTTCCTTACCTTTGTCCTTTCTACACGATTGTGAGCATTTTGAGGACAAGGACTGTGTTTTAATCATTGCTATTTTCCTGGTATCTAGGACAGAGCTGAGCACAGTCAATGTTTGCAAATATCTGTTGAAAGATCAAATGAATGCATTCCTGAATGAACAACTGAAAGAAGAGAAGTATGAGCTTGTGGTGAGCTCATTTTGGAGCCAAACAGGGCTGGGTTTAAATCCTGGCTCTCTTGAAGACTAGTATTGTGACCTAAGGAAAATTACTCTAAAGCCTCCATTTTCTAATCTCAAAATAGGGCAAATGGAATTTATCTCAAGACAAACCATTGTCAACTTATATTGATGAACAACAGCTATAGCTACATATAACTCAGTCCTGTCACTAAATTTCTGAGAGTTATCTTGGAATGAAAAGACAAAAAAGACAATGAAGCTGTATTCTTGCAGATTAATTTATTAACAACAACAGTAAAAATATACTCACTGACTGTCTACTGGGTAGAAGACATTATGCTAGGACCTGTGGAGAAATGAAATGTAAATTAATATTTGGCCTATGGAGAAGTTAAGGAATACAGTATAGGCTAAATTTTAAAATAAAGTAGAAAGTGTCAGGTGCCATAAGAGAGGTATCAGATTTTAGATTAAGAGTTCGTTTGTAGCTGAGACAATGAGGAAGGCTTTCTGGGAGAAGTGGTGTTTGAAATGAACCCTGAAGGAAAGGTCAAAAGATTTTTGCTGACAGTGGAGGAAGGAAGATGGGAATGAATGCAACTGTGAGGAGGTGGAAATACCTAGGAGAGAAATGTGGGCTCCGCCATCCTATTATTGTCGTTGTTTCACCAGATGCTGCAGTTTCATCTTCTGAAACTAAGGGTTAGTGACCTGCCTTTTTCACAAAGTACAATGTGCCCTGGTTTTCTGTCTGGAGGCATTGACACTCTGCCCAGAACAAGGCCACCTGATGCCAACAGCTAAGGCAGAAACTGGCCTGTTCACGCCGTAGCCCCTTAGAAGCAGCAGTTCTGTCACTCTGTCTCGCGATGCCCTGAAGACACTTGGCAGAGGCTCTACAGCAGGGGTGAGGAATCACATCCCTGTGAACAGGAATGTGCAACTGAAACTGGTGTGGACACTTGGGGAATGACTAACAAATCTTATCACAGATTGTCAAATTATGTTATTTAGAATCAAACTGCTTGTGAATGAGGCAGAAGATATACACACATGCTGTAAAGATGGTTTTCTCTAATGAGCAGTGGTGATGAGCTTTTTTCCATATGTTTGTTGGCTACATAAATGTCTTCTTTTGAGAAGTATCTGTTCATATCCTCCGCCCACTTTTTGATGGGGTTGTTTCCTTCTTGTAAATTTGTTTAAGTTCCTTATAGATTCTGGATATTAGATCTTTGTCAGATGGATAGATTGCAAACATTTTCTCCCATTCTACAGGTTGCCTGTTCACTCCAAATGCCCATCAACGATAGACTGGATAAAGAAAATGTGGCACATATACACCACAGAATACTATGCAGCCATAAAAAAGAATGAGTTCATGTCCTTTGCAGGGACATGGATGAAGCTGGAAACCATAATTCTCAGCAAACTAACACAGGAACAGAAAACCAAACGAGCATGTTCTCACTCATAAGTGGGATTTGAACAATGAGAACATGTGGACACAGGGAGGGGAATATCACACACCCAGGCCTGCTGGGGGGTGGGGGTCAAGGGGAGGAAGAGCATTAGGACAAATACCTAATGCAAGCGGGGCTTAAAACCTAGATGACGAGTTGATAAAAGCAGCAAACCACCTTGGCACATGTATACCTATGTAACAAATCTGCACGTTCTGCACACGTATCCCAGAGCTTAAAGAAAAAAAAAAAAAGATGTGTTCAAAATATTTCGTTTTACACGTGGTAATGAAACTGAGCTTTAAAAAAAAAAAAAACCAATCAGTGATGAGATGTCATTTCCAGGAATCGTTTTCTGGCACCACCAGGTTGAGTTTATCACACTGCCACCAGCCTGCATGGGTGCTGCATTTCCCCTGCTACTGTATAATGGTGGTTAAACTATGGTTCTGGGGCACCAGGCTTCCTGACCTTGAAGGCAAGCTCCTCTATTGACTAGCATATGACCTTGGGCAGTTCTTTTAGCCTTCCTAAGTTACAGTTTCTCATCAGTAAAATGGAAATGGTGGTAATACCTGCCTAATATGGCATATGGAGAGTAGTAAAATAAATGACTAATGCAGTAAAGAACATCTCAGTGCCTGCCACACAGCAAGTGCTTTCTCTCCAGATACTTCTTTCTGTCTCATCTCTTTTAGATCTTTACTCCGCTGTGAGGCCATCTTTGACCATTCCATTTAAAATGCACCCCCTACCTCCAAACATTATCCCATTTCCTCCCTTCTTTTTTGTCCACTGCACTTCATCACTATCTCACATACTATGTATTTTAGTTATTTGTTATGTTTATGCCTGTCTCTTCAGTAGAACGCAAGCGCCAAGCATCTGTATTCCCAGATCAATGCCTGGCATACAATATGGACTCAAGGGAGAAAGAGATGAGCCAGCCCTGCTATGCTGAAACTACTCCCGGCCCAGTGCTAGCCCTTCGGGACCCCGTTTGAACGTTTGACTGCCCTTTGACACCTGGACCAGTGGGCAGGAAGAGAAACTAAAATCGAGGTAGTAATTTAAGTAGCACATTATGGGGGGCTCTGACCTTATTGAACTTGAACTTAATGCTGCCGATTTTTCATAAATCTCGATTCATGCTACCCCACTCCCTCTCGCTCAGCTAATGAGCTCCTCCTGTTACCCAAAGTTTACCCGAGAGACCCACTGTAGTGCCCGGGATAGCAAAGAATTCTCTGACTCAGGCTCTGACCCGGACTCGGAGAGGCAAAGCGAGCAGGAAAGGGATCTGCAAAGCTCACCTCCTCTTGGCCAAGGCGGCCTCGCGCGGGTGAGGCGGCCCCCGCGCTGCAGCCCCGGCTCCAGCGCCCCGCGCCGCCTCCGCGGCGGGTCGGGAGCGCGCGTCTCCGCCGCACCTCGGAGACAGGAGCTACTCGCCCGGTCCTGGGCGTGGGAGACGGCGGCGGCTGCGCTCGCGCACCTCGGAGGAGCCAGGAGCCGGAACCAGGGCCAAGCTTGCGGGCCGGGGCGAGCCAGGCGGTAACCACGGGCGGGACAGGGCGCCCAGGGCCGAGCAAAGCCCGGGCGCTGGGTGCGGGGCGCGTGCAGCCTTGGTCAAGGCAGTAGGGCTTGCTTGGGCTTGGGGGCAGTCTTTAGTTTGGAGGGGCTGGAGAATGGGGTGCGAGGAGGAGAACTGTGATGTGAGGACGCCCAGGGGAAGAGTGTGGAGCCCGCGGAGAGCACCAAGTTTAAAACCTTCCCGGCAGCCCGCTGATGTGCGTGTGGACGCCGCTGGGCGTCCGAAAAGCCTGGAAGCGGCGGCGCTCGGGGCTTGGGTGGGCTTCCTCCTCTCCGCTGGGCCCCAGCGGCAGAGGCACACCCTTTCCCGCCGGTGAGAAAACTTTCCTTGCTGCGGCCCTCCTCCTGCCTTGGTGCCCTGCAACTGAGAGAGCTCCCCTGGACTGGGGAAATGTACTGGCTCCGGGCCCCGGGCGCGCACCCCATGCATTGGGCAGGATTCTCAGATGATCCCTGGCTTGACAGTTGTATTCATTTTATTTGAACTGGGGAGCCTGCGCTGCTCGCAGGTCATTTTACTAATTAGAGGGAAATAGGGGTTTCATCCTTTCCCCGCTGCCCCACCCCGCAATCCCCCCACCCTCCCGAGCCCCGTGCCTTCCCATCCTTTGTGTAATTGAGGAAGGCAAAGAGTAGTCTCTGCCGAAACCTGTTTGGAGGCGTTGTGGTTTCCACAGCATGTTAGATGGCACAGAATCTCAGCCACTACTCTGCATTTAGTTTGACAACAATGAAACACTCTGGTGTTTTGAAAGCAAAGGAAGCTTGAATGAATGTGTCCAGGCAGACGAGAGAAGGGAACTCTCATGCATAAATTAATTCTTACGAAAACCCCAAAAGTAAGTAGTGTTTTCAGTTTGCAGGTGGAGAAAATTACATTGCGATATTAAATACGTTTTCCAAGGTGACTCCCCCAGTTAAGTAATAGTGGGCAGTAGGGGTCTGGAAGCTAGGACTATGAGTCTAGTGTCCTTTAGGTACATTGCATGGGATACATAGTCAAGAACAGGTGCCAGAGAGTGACATGGGCCTGCAAGGATAAGGTCAGGAAAGCCAGAGGCCACTGTGAGCTGGGGTACCCACAAGGAGTTTTGTTCTTATGAGGAAGACCATCCAGTGTTTATGGAAGAATAGATGATATTAACAGGTGATAGGAAAAGGAAGAGTTTCTTCCAGTCTGTAGCTTTCTTTTCAAAATGGAAAGGCCAGCCTAAACCCTTTAAAGAGGGTCTCGAAGCCCGAAACTGGACCGGATGTTCAAAGCCCGAATGGCAGACGTCCTAGAGTAGTGAAAGCAATTATAATCATCTTTGTGCAGGTATGAGAGATGAGAACGGACCCAGGAGAATTTTCAAGAGGGAAACATTGAATCCTCAAAAGAGGGAAACATTGAATCCTGGCAAGGTTCTAGAACAAATTCTTTAAGATAGCTCAAAACTACCTAGGGAAGCATTTACAAAGACTTATGCCAAACCAACTCCCTTCCCTTTTCTAGCAATCTCCTGGGCTATAGATCAGGGTATGCTGTATCCATTGTCTTCAAATGGATCAGTTTAGTGAATTGCAAACAGCAGTTTTTAAAACATGAAAACCAAAAGAAAGAAAGATATCAGAGTGCATTGCATGAGCAAGGGGAAGTACTGTTTTTGGAAGCACCGCTGGTGATGCACATGTCCTGTTCTGCGTTGCTGATCCTGCTGCCTCTGCGTGAGTGTTCATACCCATTGCTGGCTGCCCCCTTTCAGCCTTCTGAGCTAGGCCCACTCTGGTCACAGTGGGGATCATCTTCTTTTACCTTGCAAATTATATGTCATCAACATATTCTGGAAAGGTGTTCGCTTCCTCCTCCCCATTTCTGTCGGTCCCCAGACGCTGAAGTATTTTGTCAGTCAGAATTCATCTCTGAATTATTTATCTGTGAACGTTTTTTGATAGCCACAGTTCATAGATAACTTTTTCAAACATATTAAATTAGTCCAAATTGTATAAAGAGAATATCACATCTGTCCTTTTTAGCTTTCAAGTGAAATGTTTTTGTTATTTGGAGTACAAAAAAAAATATATACTTATGATGTTTGTGTAATATATTTAAGGAACTGTTATTATACCAAGCTATGATATTTGGAAGATTACCAGATAATGCCTCATTGTGTCATTGATGAGCCAAAAAAAGACTCATCTAGTCTTTTTTTTTTTTAAATTTTTCTTATTTTGGCTTTTTTTCCCCTAAATGAAATATCAAGGTAGATATATGAGAACCTCTCCATAACTCTTGAACCCACTGGTTACTTCAAAAGTGTGAGGGTTCATCATGCAAAGGAATATGAAGAAATGTTTAAACAAACAAAACGAAAAATAATATGAGGGTTGAGCAAGGAGGCTTTGTTGAACAGATTTACTTCCTTCATCCCAAAGATAGTGATGGGGCCATCTGAGGGTGAGTTGAGCTGTCCATGTGCCTCTTGCATTTGGGGCTCACACAGCGGCCTAGGAGGCTGGATCACTCACTTTCCCAAAGTTTGTTGGGCAAAGGATGTCTGACGATGATCTGGGAGCCAGGTTGGGGCCACATGGGAGGAAGGGTTGGCCGAAGGGCGAGGACATCTGGCAGCAGAAGTAGGAATGAGCAGCCAGCTGAAGGAAGGTGAGAATTACTAACGCACCCATGTGAGGTATGAAGATGGTTAATTCAGTCCTGTCCTCCTGCTTTGATCTTGGAGTAATTTGAAACTGGCCAGCAGTTGAGTGGATGTGAAGAAATAGCAAAGAAGTTTACCTTCCCCCAACCCCAGCAGGAGACCAGCATGCAGCAAGACATTGCTGAAATAGGGCAGATTCATGTTATAATGGGTCAGAGTTTCTTTTGTTTCCAAAGATTAGATATTTTAATTCTTTTAGGTTTTTATATTTCTTATTTATTTATTCATTTGAGACAAAGTCTCATTCTGTCTGTTGCCCAGGCTGGAGTGCAGTGGCATGATCACAGCTCACTGCAGCCTCAACCTCCTGGGCTTAAGTGATCCTCCCATCTCAGTCTCTCAGAGAGCTGGGACTACAGACACACACCACTATGCCCAGCTAATTTAAAAAATTTTTTTTTTTTTTTGTAGAGATATGGTTTTGCTATGTTGTCCAGGCTGTTCTTACATTCCTGGGCTCATATCCTTGCCTCCACATCCCAAAGTGCTGGGATTACAAGTGTGAGCCGCTGTGACTGGCCTCTTTTGGGACTTTGAAGTTGTTGCATGAGCAGAAACATCATGGGATCTACTCAAGTATTTGTTTGAGGGCAGGGAAGATGAATCCTTGAATATATTTTAAGGAGCAATAGAAAACCAAAATACAATTGACATTTGAGCAGGCCCCACAAGTTGTGCTAGCTCAGAGTAGGTAATATATGCTTGGGTTAAAATTAAGTAGAATAGCAATCTATGTTTATTGTTACATTTACTTTTGACGAAGGAAGACTTAGAGGCAGAAGCAGTTAGAAAAGGAAAGAAAATGTTTACTTCCCCAGAGTGCAAGGGAGTCAGACTTTATAAGACTGGCCCATCAAATAAAATCACAGTAAATACTTGAAAGAAAATATTCCCCCAAATTCTCCATGTACATTAGTCTGTTGTTCATGACGGAAAACAATTTTCTCGCACAGTTACCATATTCCTAAAACTTGTGACTTGTTTTCAGACACCAGCATAGCAAAGAATCAAGGGAAAAATGGTTTCTTTAAGGGAGTGAGATGTGTTTGAAATTTTATTTTGGAGACCAACTTTCAGGCAGGGTGATCATGTTATTTTTGCTTCATGTCAGGGTACAATGATTTTTTTCTTGACTGCAGTGTGAGAAATACTTAGTACTATTGGAGAAGAGGAAAGTATGCATTTTCCTTGCAAACATGATTCTGCAGTCCCTTATAGTATTGTTGAGATGTGAGGTAAAATAGCAGAAGTTGAGAATATCTCTATGAGATGCTAAAATTATGTATGTTAAAATCTGAGTTTGTTGCTCATGTTTCTGTTATCAAGACCTGTGTAATTTTTGCCTCACTAGAGAACATTAGTAAAATTTCATAACCCTTCAAGTGAAAATAGTTTGTAAGCTTCAAATAATTCTCCTGCATGGTGCATTTTGTTTTCTTCTTGCATGTCCTTGGTAATAGCAAAACCAACAATCACTGGAAGGCAGAGCAGGCTGAGGGAGGCGCTTCTTAAGGATTAGTTTTGAAGTTGCCTGGTTGAACAAGAGAGAAAAATTAGGAGCTGAGTGAGGGAATGTGGTTATAAACGTTTTCTATCTTTCTACAAACCTTTGTATAGATTATTTCAGGAAATATAATTCTATCTTGTGTGGGGAAAAAAAGAAAGAAGAGAGAGAAAGAAACAAAATTAAGATCAACTATATCATATAAAACCTACATCATATTCCTACCAGTGTGATATGGTTTGGCTGTGTCCCCACCTAAATCTCATCTTGAACTGAATTCCCATAATCCCCATGTGTTGTAGGAGGAACCCACTGGGAGGTAATTGAATCAGGGGGCGGGTTACCTCCATGCTGTTCTCATGGTACTGAGCTTTCAAGAGATCTGATGGTTTCAGAAGAGGCTTTCCCTGTCTCCACTCTGACTTCTCCTTGCTACCTCCATATAAAGAAGGAAGTGTTTGCTTCCCCTTTTGCCATGATTGTAAGTTTCCTGAGACCTCCTTAGCCCTGCGGAACTGTGAATCAATTAAACCTCTTTACTTTGTAAATTACTCAGTCTCATGTATGTCTTTATTAGCAGCGTGAGAATGGACTAACACAGTAAATTGGTACTGAGGTAGTGGGGAACTGCTATTAAAGATACCAGAAAATGTGGAAGCGACTTTGGAACTGGGTAATGGGCAGAGGTTGGAACAGTTTGGAAGGCTCAGAAGACAGGAAAATGTTGGCAAGTTTGGACTTTCCTGGAGATGTAGAGGGCTCGAAAGAAGACAGGAAAATGTGGGAAAGTTTGGAACTTCCTAGAGACTTGCTGAATGGCTTTGACCAAAATACTGATAGTGATATGGACAATGAAGTCCAGGCTGAGGTATAGAGATGAGTAATTTGTTGGGAACTGGAAAAAAGGTGACTCTTGCTATGGTTTAGCAAAGAGACTGGTGACATTTTACCCATGCCCTAGTGATCTGTGGATCATCAGAGAGATGATTTAGGGTATCTGGTAGAAGAAATTCCTAAGCAGCAAAGTGTTCAAGAGGTGACAGAGCATAGAAGTTTTGGAAAATGTGCAACCTGACAATGTGGTAGAAAAGAAAAACCTATTTTCTGAGGAGAAATTCAAGCCAGCCGGTTGCAGAAACTTGCATAAGTAACAAGGAGTCAAATGTTAATTGCCAAGACAATGGGCAAAATGTCTCCAGGGCATGTCAGAGACCTTTGCAAGCAGCTCCTCCCGTCACAGACCTGGAGGCCTAGGAAGAAAAAATGGCTTTGTGGGCTGGTTCAGGGCCCCCCTGCTGTGTGCAGTCTAGAGACTTGGTGCCCTGCATCCTAGCCATTCCAGCCATGGCTAAAAGGGGCCAAGGTATAGCTCAGGCTGTAGCTTCAAAGGGTTTAAGTCCCAAGCCTTGGCAGCTTCCATTTGGTGTTGAGCCTATGGGTACACAGAGGTCAAGAATTGAGTTCTGGGAACCTCCACCTAGATTTCAGAGTATGTATAGAAATGCCTGGATGTCCAGCTAGAAGTATGCTGCAGGGGCAGAGCCCTCATGGAGAACCTCTGTTAGGGCAACATAGAAGGGTAATGTGGAGTCAGAGCCCTCACACGCGTCTCCAATGGGGCACTGCCTAGTGGAGGTCTGAGAAGAGGGCCACTGTCCTCCAGTCACCAGAATGGTGGATCCACTGACAGCTTGCCCCATGCACCTGGAAAAGCCACAGACACTCAATGCCAGCTGTGAAGGCAACCAGGAGGGGGGCTGTACCATACAAAGCCACAAGGGTGAAGCTGCCCAAGGCTGTGGGAGCCCACCTCTTGCATCAGCATGACCTGAATGTGAGATATGGAGTCAAAGGAGAATATTTCAGAGCATTAAGATTTAATTACTGCTTTATTGCATTTCAGACTTGCATGGGGCCTGCAGATGTAAGACATAGAGTCAAAGGAGATTATTTCAGAACTTTAAGATTTAATTACTGCTTTACTGGATTTCAGACTTGCATGGGGCCTGTAGCCCCTTTGTTTTGGCCAATTTCTCCCGTTTGGAACAGGTGTGTTTACCCAATGCCTGTACCCCCATGGTATCTAGGAATTAACTAACTTGTTTTGTATTTTATAGGCTGATAGGCAGAGAGACTTGCCTTGTCTCAGGTGAGACTTTGGACTTGAACTTTTGAGTTAATGCTGGAATGAGTTAAGACTTTGGGGAACTGTTGAGAAGGCATGATTGTGTTTTGAAATGTGAGGACATGAGATTTGGGAGGGGCCAAGAGTGTAATGATATGGTTATGCTTTGTGTCTCCACCCATCTCATCTTGAACTGTAGTGCTCATAATCCCCATGTGTCATGGGATGGACCTGGTGGGAGGTAATTGAATCATAGGGGCAGTTATCCCCATGCTGTTCTCCTGATAGTGAGTTCTCATGAGAGCTGATGGTTTTATAAGGGGCTTTCCCCTTTTTGCTCACACTTCTCCTTGCTGCTGCCATGTGAAGAAGGATGTGT